CTAGAAGTTGCTGCTAAGAAACCTAGCATTCGTAGAAGATTATCGGAAAAATTTATATGATGTAGCATTTTGCAGCCTCATCGCAGTTAATACTTATGTAGACTTTGCCGCTAGATGCTCTTTGCTGTTCGAAATAAAAATGCGATCCGGCATTTTTACACGCGATATTAATCGCCTCAATATGCTCACGGATATCGTTGTAAATTCCATTTGGAAATGCAACTTCTTTTGCCGTAAACAGGCCATTCATCTCCTCATTGGGTTAACATCAACAAATCTGATCACATTTTCGAAAAAAGTACAGGAAAATTGAATTTCACTTAACGCAATCTCCCATTGTCCCGCAATACTAGAGAGTGAGATAATTCTGTGATGAAGGATGACGTTGTCTTATCCGGAAAATGATGCATGCTGATGTTATTTAGAAGTAAGAAGAAATTGTTCCTCCTCCATCGCGAAGAGAAATTAAATCCAAATCAGAACTATCAAACTGTTTAGGATAACCACACCAGCTAACTAACTCATCTTCTACTTTTTATCACGCGATCGACGAAAAATGCTATTCCTCTAAAATCTTCCAACTAAAATTTTTCTCAACTCGAGCTAATTCTTGCTCATAAAAAATACTATCTATGATTTTTTCTGCTAAATTTCGCAGTTTGTGTGAGGGTTTCGCCAACCGAGAACACGGTAAATTTGAAATATTTCTTTGCTCCACTTAGCCTCATATTCTTTCTCGAAAGCGCTTTTCGCTTTATTGATACGAACGACATCTCCGACATGATGTTTAATCTTTCGCGCCTGTTTCTTTAACATTTTGTTTTTCTAATGTGTTATATTTTTACAAGCGATATGGACGTTTTTCTCGTTACTACCGCAGGTTACAATCTCGTGAACGAGTGACGTGTGTGATTGTAAGCGCGTATAATGTCCTGTAGAACATCAATGTAGCGTCGTATATTTTTATATGTGAAATAACACCACATTCGCTCCTTCAATGTTCTGTTGTAGCGTTCAATGATCAAGCGACGATGGCTTTTAAATGTCCGGATTGCGCGTTACTAGAATACAAATATCGTTTTAAATTTTCTTTAAGAAATCTCTGCATTGGATACGCGGCAAATTCCTTATTCTTGTTCGTTTGGAAGTTTATAGATACTCGTTCTTCGCTTTTCGCAAGTACATGTTGAAAAGCTTTTATCACTCTGTTGCTCGTTTTGTCACGTAGCAGTTCTACCCAGACATTGTTTAGTATATCGATAATCACTAACAGATAGGCGTCATTGTAACTTTTTAGATTTCGGACTTTTTAGATTTCTTTTAGATTTCAAATCTGCCTCCGACACATTGTTAATGTTTGTTACACTGTAATGCAATCGCGGAATCAGAGTTAGTTCATGTAAAAATACAGAGACATGATTTGAATAAGCAGATTGACACAGAATCTTTACCAGAAACTTATTCCCAATCATACATTCCTTTTCTCCTTCGTAGTTCTCCCACTATTCTTTTTCTCACCTGCTCATATTACTTCCTACTTCTCCCTCTATTTTCTACATATCTCAAATAACGTCAAAGTAACATTTCAATTTATAATGTCTCTTAAAACATAAAAAAATATTTTCTAAAAAATAAGTTCAATCGCATAATTGCTTAATAGTTTCCATCTATCATAATTATAGACATATTAGTAGACAATCTGGTTCATTACAACATATTAAGTGTGGGAAAAAGTTCGTGGCGTTTTTTTAATGCCATCTAACGGGAAAAACGCCACGAACTTTTTCCCATACCTAATAATTATATCATACAATTTTATAGACTTCAATATTATAATAAAACAAGAATACACACTAGATATTATATATTATACATGACAACTAAGATATATATCATGTTAAGCATCAAGATCAGAATATATACATCACTTGACGTAGAATTATAGGAACTAAGAAAAATAATTAATATATATAGTTTATAATATATTATTAATATATATAGTTATTATTATGTTAAGAGTTTTGTAGGCCGACGTATTTCAAAAATTTGTATTTTAATTGTAAAATTTCAAAATTAATTAGGATAACGTTTGATAATGATCCAATCAGTGTCGAAATGTCTGTTTATATTGATTGTATAGAGTATTTATATTTATTTTTTAGACTTATATGTAAATTTTAAATATATTTTGTTGGTTCGTAGCCCATTTATATATTCTTTAAATAAGGATTTAGTTTTACAGTTCAAAAGAATATTTTATTTAAAATGACAAGTAGTCATAAGCAGTGATAAGTTTAAAGTTAATTTTAATACAAGAATGTTCTAAAGTAGAAGAGACAGTCGTCTTTGAAGTTTAATAATTTTATATTACGTTTATTTTATAAATTTTATTACTTTTATACAATAATAAATATATATAATATATACACATAAAATTACAAGTTCAGATAATATAAATATTTTATACTTTTAAATATAAATACATCTCAAATATAAAAACAAAAATAATACTTACTTTAGCCGACTTATAAATCCTAATATCTTCAGCAAATTTAATGACGCACCTGAAAAAAAAATAAACAGATTATTGAAACATATTAGAGGATAATAGTAATAAAAGGATAATAGTAATAAAATAAAAGATACTTACTTTTGGAGATCATAATCGTCATTGAAACTGTGAAAGATATCTAAAAATAAGAAAAAAAATACTACATTAAGTAAAAAATAGAATGGCGTAAAAATAAGAAATATGTAGAGTTTAAGTTTAATATCAATTAAAGATAATTATAGCAGTAATAATTCTGAATTTTATAATATGATTAATAAAAAAAAACGGCCAAATAGAAAGTAAAGATTTAGCTGATTAAATGATAGATAAAAAGAATATTAAGGCCGAGAGACTTTAGATCTCAGATAAAATTTTGAGTTTGCATTAATAATAATGGGTTAAGGACACAGCGTTAATCCAGTTTAAGTAATGCTTATATTATCATTCATGTTATGTAAAAAAACCATATCAGATTTAGGAAAAATCTTCATTTATAAAAATAACCATATGTAGACATATACTGATAAATCAAGTAAAAACGCTCGAAAACCACAATACCGAAAAGATAGATCAAACAAATAAAATTGATAACAATAAATGATTTAGAGAATTTTAACAATATTTTAACGCTTGGAAACAAGTTTACAGATAAGTAACTGATAATTTAAAGAAGAAAAGACTAACTTTGACAGGTGAGATTATGATACTATCGAACAATGAATACTCAATTTTGCAACTTATATGAATAAAAATGAATAGACAAAAAGGTTTCTTTACCAATAAATATTGAGAATATGTATTTAATTAAAAATCTTTATTTTATATTTTTATTTTATATTTTATATATTTTATCAGATAAGAGTATAGTTACTAGGGAATCTAGGGATTTACCGGGATGCAGTTGAACATTAAACGATAAAAGATAATAACAACGATAAGAGATAGAATAAAAAAGGAATTAATGAATAAATGCACATTTTACATTAAGAGCATCTGTCCTGCTTAAAAAGTTCAATAGAATCAGATAGAGGAAAAAATTCTATTTGATTAAATCGTGTTTTTGGTTTCGTGATTATGATAAATTTCAGGTTATTTAATTAATTTGGTAAATGTTCTATATTTCTCTATCGTTTTTGTCGCATGATTTAGATATCGTTTTTAATCAATTTCTATTTGGTCATAAATTTTATCATAATTAATAGTATTGTATCGTTTTAATCATAAATTTTACATTATTTTTCAAAAAAGTTTTTTATAATTATTAAAACACAATTCTTATTTTTTTTTATTATTCTTCTATAGAATTAATTTATATTTTCACATGCAATTTATTAATTACTGTTAGAGATCAAGGCGATTCCGATAGCGCGTGTGTTGTGAATTCAATTACCGACATTACGATACTGACTCATGTGGCGAGCGCGCCGCGCGCCCCGAACTAAGTTAATCTTAAGTTTTGTAAGCTGCTATAAACCTCGCTCGTGCACGCATCTATTTCGTATCCGTAGAACTTCATTAAAATTAATTAATTGGAATCGATTGCATTTTGTATTCTAACATTGGTCCTTCGAGCCGGATCGCAAATCGGTGAGAATAGTGATACAGTCCACAAATTTGAGAGCGCAGATAATGGGGGAGGGGAAGGGAGGGGATGAAAACGAGATTAGATCTAGAAGAACATAGCTGAGATCGCGAAGCTTCGATGTCGCAAGCAGTATTCCTAGACCTATCAAAAAACTCCATTATTTTAATGAAATGACAAGTTTTGCTCGATTTTGATTTGTGATGAGATAATCCAACAATTTTATTATGTGTCAGTAAGGATTGCTGCAATCAAGTAATATTTTGTTTTTTTAATATTAGGTATGGGAAAAAGTTCGTGGCGTTTTTTTAATGCCATTTAACGCCACGAACTTTTTCCCATACCTAATATTATCGCTATATTAAATTACATCTTTTGTGTTAAGGAGGACTAAAAATAATTGTAAAAACGTCTGTACTATGTGTAATTTTTAAATAATAACTTTATTTTTTGCTCCTACAACGTGCGTTTTTAACGGCTATTTAATATTTTCTTAATAAATTTATTTAGAGATTTTTATTTTGTTTTTCTTTCATATTTATCATTGTATTCTTTTGCGTGAAACTTATATTTACTTAAGAAATTAGTACGCATAATACGCACCAAGCATGTTACATATATGCATACATATTTATATCCTTTATTTTATTGTTTTGATTTCTTGATATCATGGGAATTTTCCTTTTTTACAATACAGCGTTAAACATTTATCTCTTAATTAATTAACATAATTCTTCAATCATGAATATTTTTTAAAATTGGGCGGCACATATACTAACTTTTAGGAAGCTTTATTATAGAATCAAGAACATAAAGAAACAAGTATAAAAAAGAAATTGTTTGTCCCAATTTAGGAAACATTTTATCCTATCTTCCTGCCGAGAAATTATGAAGCATCAAGGCGTTCTTCAACATTTGCGTGGCATTCTTTAAGATGTAGTCGAAATTATCTTTCGTATCATCTTCTTTTTGGAACTGTATAAGTATCACAAGATACGTTGTGACAGCACCAGCTATCTAAAATCATTACATTGTTATTCATTTATATATCTTAAAATTAGCCCGGGTGGAAATTATGACTTGCTGTATGAACCTCATTTAGTTTTCCATGAGTTAATGTAAGCGCTATATTGGAAGGCTAGGCTATATTGAGATGTAATAGCAATAATAGCCAGTCCCAATTAAAAAACTATCTAAGCCCTGATTCGCGATACAGTGCAGCCTCAATGTTGGAAAATTGTCTTGGCTCGCAAGATGATACTGCTGAAATTTGAGAAAACTTTAGGTTTTGGTTCACAGTTATTCGCAGTGTTGCTGCAAGATTAAATTTATTTAGTCTCTTTTTAGAAAGAGACAGGTAATATAACTTAATTAGATGTAAAATTAATAAAACAAAGATGTAGTCCGAATGACCCCCGTTCGCGATTGATCTAAAATATTACATATAAATTGTTTTTGATATAAGAAATAAAAATCTATAGTCTCAATTTCGGGAAATGAAAAACAATTTTTTTTTATATGACAATATTAACTTTTATATGACAATATTCTTTTGATTAAAATCCGGACCAGTTAAGGAAATACGACTTTTCACGTGAACGACTCCGACCTTATCTCTCCTCTGCTTAGAGGTGACTTTCACGTGAAGCGATTTCCACTCTACTTCTACTTTTCCTTAGGGAAACGATTTCCACGCGGAGCGACTCCCTCATCTTCTTTCCTGCTTAGGGGCGCACGACTTTTCACACGCTAAACAAAAGTACCTGAATGAAAAGTCGTAAAATAAAAAATATTTTTTTTCATTTCTCGAAGTTGAGAATATGTATTTTTTATCTCTTATTGAGTAGAATTTATGTATTAACTTAAAAAAATTTTAAGTTACTCGCGAATATGGATCATTCGGAAATATATTCAAAACGAATACCAATTTAAGACGATTGTTAAATTTTTAATATAAGGTAGGATCGGGTATTATGAACAGGTAATATAAGTACCCTTTATACAATATTTTTGTAATTGGTACTAGTAGTTCCAATTGTTGTAATAAGGTGCATCTGTCTTCGTAACATTCCAATATGTTGCAAAGTTTAATCTATTATAAATTTATATACTTCGGATATTTATCATATACAAACAAGTTGATACGTTTTTCTTTATTTTTTACGATTTTTCCTCTAACTTCATAAGGTTCCCAATCTCATTGAGATAAAATATTTTGTTCTGCATGTTGATATTTGTAAAGTGAACAATATTGAGACATTCTTACTTCATAAAGTCCCGAAACCATTATTGATTTGTTAGACACGGGAGTTTTTACGCGGGAATTAGACACGGGATACCCAATCAACAGACAATGTTTTTGAAAAAGTTTTTAAAAATATTTAATATATAAAAAATCATTTTAAAAAATATTTTTAAAACCACTAAAAATATAGAGTACAAATAAATTTCCGCCGTTTGCAAAAGACGGCGCCATTAATAAACTATAGTTAAAATTGTTTGATGTAAAACGACATATCGTAAGATTGAATCATCCGGCAACACAATAACCTTGAAATATTAACGATTTTGTATCAGCATCATATATTTTTTTTGTACGAAAATATCGAATTTTGAGCCGAATAAGCTTCATTTGCGGGAACTTTTGATTTACATCTTTAATTTGAAGAAATCTGCAACTGAGGCTCATAGATTGCTTGTAGAAGCATATGGTGATGCTACCTTAAGTGAGAGAAGTTGTCGTGAGTGGTTTCAAAAGTTTAAGAACGGTGAATTTGACGTCGAAGACAAAGCGGAAGACCGAAAGTGTACGAAGACGCGCAATTGGAAGCATTATTGGATGAAGATTCGTGCCAAACACAAAAAGAACTTGCACTTAGGATGGACTCAACAAACAATTTCATATCGTTTGAAATCATTGAGAATGATTCAAAAGCAAGGGAATTGGGTTCCATATGAACTGAAGCCGAGAAACATTGAATGCCGATTTTTCACATGAAATGCTGCCAGGCATAAATGAAAGGGTTTTTTGCATCGTATAGTCACTGGTGATGAAAAATGGATCCACTACGATAATCCAAAGAAAAGGAAATCATGGGGATCTGGTCATGCTTCAACATCGACAGCCAAGCCGAATATTCATGGAAAAAAACTTGTGTATTTGGTGGGATCAGCTTGGTGTCGTGTATTATGAGTTGTCAAACCGAACGAGACCATTACTGGGGCTCTCTACCGAACACAATTGATGAGATTGAGCCGAGCACTCAAGGAAAAACACGCCCACTACTCCAGGCATGACAAAATTATTCTCCTGCATGATAATGCTCGACCACATGTTGCGTCAAAGACTTAGAAACACTCAAATGGGAAGTTCTACCCCACCTGCCGTATTCTCCAGACATTGCTTCCGACTACCACTTGTTCCGATTGATGACGTATGGCCTGTCTGAGCAGCACTTCACATCATATGAAGATATCAAAAATTGTATCGATGATTAAATAGCCTCAAAAGATGAAGCATTCTTCCGATGCAGTATCCACATGCTACCAGAAAGATGGGAAAAAGTAATGGCTAGCGATGGCCATTACTTTGAATAAAACATTATGTACTGTTCTTTCACAATAAATGCTTAATTTTTGATACAAAATGACGGAAACTTATTTGTACTCCCTATAATGTTATTGAGAATTAAAAGGGGAGTTAAGCCCCCTCCTTTTTCATTAAAAAAACATTTATTGTAACGTTTGAAGAAACATTTTTTAAAAAAATATTAATTTAATGTTTAAAAAAACATTTCTTTTAATTAATTTTTTAACAATTTTTTAACATTTTTAAAAAAACTTTTTTAATGTCAAAATTATTTGAATAAAATTAGAAAAAATAACAATGTAGAATTGTTTCTAATTTATTTTTTTTATTGAGTAGAGTGCCTAAACATTAGACAACTAATTTTATTGATTAATTTTAAATCCATAACAAATCAAACTAACCAAGACTCCTTATAAATTGAAAAACTGAAAAGGATACGGGCAGTAGGAATCAAGTGCAGAAGACATCGCGCAAATAATATACTTATGAAATGTGAAACTTCTTTATTCACTAAAACACAGTTACATGTTTCGACTTACTTTTGAGCCTTCCTCAGAGATAACATAAACTAACATATACTCGTACAAAACCTGTGAATAAAAGTTATTTTGTTATAATGAGCTTCTCTAGATCGAGAATTTAAATGTCGGAATTAAAAAAAAGGAAAAGAAAAAGAAAAAAAGAAAAGAGGAGAACTATTTTATCAAACAAGTTTAAGATTATAATTAATTATCTAGCAAATATAAGAACGCTCACCATGTTCACAAAGCATCATATCGCAAATATTACTATAAAAATAATTCAAGAATCGCCTCCTGATAATGTTGGCCAGTCAGTATCAGACACAATGAGTCACTTTTTGTTTTTAGCTAATAATTTTCCGAGATACTAAATGTAAAAATGTAACATTAAAGCATTAATCAATTCTAAGAATAAGAAAATTGGAAAGTAATCGATAAACACATCAGAAAGACTCATTATTGCGTACAAACGACACTGACTAACTAGACTTGGCAGCAACTCAAACTTTTATAGCTCTATGATCAGAAGATAGGTCTTGGGAAGTCCCTTTATATCCATCTGCAGGTTGATTCCATGCGTCTGTCTCTTGATGAATATCATCTCCGAAATCAATCTCTTCCTGTAGTAAGGCTCCTCATCCAGTACTGTAACATTGTCCCAATCGAAATCATGGTCTTCTTGTAATTGGTGCTCCATTATAACATCGGATGTGGTTCTTATGCGTGATTCTTGACCTCAGTTGTTTACACGTCTGTCCCACATAATTTGCATCGCACACTTACACGAGATCTTATAAATAACATTCAACTTCTTGTCATGCAGTAAAGGGTCTTTATGCATATAAAGACTTAATAAATTCTCATAATTTATTAGTACTATAAAACGGTATCCTCATATGCTATTCAATTTATTAAACTTCTCAGTAATATCACGAACAAAAGGAACAGTGAACCAAGGCTGCACTACTTAAATCCTATTAAGATTAACAACACTTTTCCTATTACTAGCTATTAATAATTTTCTTCAAACGATTGTTAATATTCTTAAATATAAAATTCAATGGATAATCATTTTTTAATAATACTTTAATAATGAAACACAAATTATCAAGGTGAAATTTAGAATTTGGAAGCAAAACAATCCTATCAACCGCGATTACATCTATTTTTTGAGAAACCGAATGCTATGACCAAAAATCCAAATGTCCACCCGAAAAAGTCGAATTGTATCAATTGAACTCTATCAACTCATTATTCCTAATCACTATATATCTAAAACATTCAATCTATCACCCCTTTCTTCCATAGTGAACTGAAATTTAGGATGCTGAGAATTAAAAATCAAGAACTAATCGAAGATGTAGGTACCGCCAATAATACATCAATAAATCTAGTAAAAAGATCAATGAAAACCGAATCAAAGACAAAGCTCTAACCTCCAGCTTTCCCATAACTAGATCCGCGATGACAACAAAGAGCTCATAGAAGTCCTGTAATTCTGCCTATATATAACACTATCAAAAATAAAGAACGTAGAATTTAAAACAAACTGAACCGCTTTGATGAATTCCTTCTTCGGTAAATAACAAACTCTAGAAACAAATCGCCAATGATCTTTAACGATCCATCGCGTAATCAATGGAGACGTTAATGAAGAAGCTCACAACATCCAGTGACATTAATTGAAATTCAACACTCAAACGTTTATCCTCCTTAACAAGTTTAAAATTATTTTCGATATAATTATCCTTAGGAATTGTTTTAGTGACAATATTATGAAAAAACACAGCTAATGAATACAAAAGGCTATTTATCGAAGAAATTATTATACGAAAAGGGCAGTCCTGCTTATGTCTTCGGAAGAACGTAGGCCCTTGAAAGAACCCGTCATTACATAACAAACTTCT